TATAAACTTCTAATATAGTAATATATTTTTTTATGTTATATGGCAATTATTGTGATATTTTCTATCTAATTTGAACAAAAATTAGTTTTAGGAGCGAACTGGGAAAAACTTGAAAGAAAAAAGAGTCGAAGTGAGAAAAATAAACTTCAAGGGCAAAGTTAGAAAGTGGTCAAACATAAAGGGGGAAAGTTTAATTTACCCAATTAAAATACTGTACTACTGTTTTCTTCCTCCACCTAAACCTAATTCTAAAGCACCATAGCCATCAAGCACCACCTATCTTCTTTACCATCCCCTCTGGTTCCTTTTTTTTTTTCGTTTGCCTGTAGCCACCTTCTTCTGCCATAAACCATACACTCCCACTAACCCCCATCGTGAACCACCCACTTTCGAGGTTGACTGTGGAGTTCTAGGATGGAAGGGGATGAGCTAGGAGTGGCGGCGACGATGGTAGGCTAAGAGTGGCAACAACAGCAGCGAAGGAGGGGTGGGTGGGTCGGTGGTGGAAGAAAAATTAAGGTTTTGAAATCCAAGGATATTATTGAAATAAAGAGAATGTGTTTTGAGATTTTTGTGTACTAAGGTGTTGGTCTCGTTTGGGAACATACTTTTTTAGTAACTTTTGGACTTTTTGGCTAAAATGTGATGTTAAAAAAACTAATATGTTTGGGATGGTTTTTTGACTTTTTACGAAAAGATGTGCAAAAAGTAGAGAGAAAATGGAATCTTTGACTTTCTGATATGGGTTGTTGGCTCTTTAGTTTTTTTAGTAACTTTTTGGCTTTTTGGCTAAAAAAGTCACCTGCCAAACGAGGCCAGTGTGTGCACTAAGGGGAATTGATGTGTGGAAATTGAATTACCCAACATGTTTATCTTTTAGAATATACTCGTACTGTACTTGTTTCTTTGTAATGTATGATGTATAGAGCCTATAAGAGCATTTACAATCCTTCACTATTTCTTTCATCAAATTTGAATTTGATGAATAAAGAGCTAAAAGTGAGCTCCAATCATTTTATCAAATTTGTATAAAATTAAGGCAGGGGCAAAATTTTCATTAAATCATTCACCAAATTTTCAAGAGTACTATTTTTACTCAAAATTTGATAAAATTTTAAAAATCGTGAGGATTGGAGACGATCTTTTTTCATAAAAAATGATTGAAACAAGTTTTTAGCCAATTTTTTCCCCTCAAATTTGATGATAACAAAGAGCAAGGATTGGAGATGCTCTAACAATGCTAAAACTAAGTTTTACTATCAAGGTTTTACCTTCTTTTCTTTCTTTCTTTCTTTCTTTTTTTTTTCTTTTTTCTTTTTCCTTTTTCCTTTTTCCTTTTTTCACTATGTTTTGGGTATCTAGCTGCGGAATGTTCATGATGGAAACTTTGATGTAGTTGTTTTATGAACGTGGTGTATTAGTGACCTTGCAATGTTTTGAAATGCAACCCTTGGAGCCTGAATGTCAAAAAGAAAATGTTGAGAATTGAGACTTAATATGTAAATTAGGGAACGGTTTATTCAGAAATTTTTCGGAAACTGGTAATTGCTTCTTGTTGTTTTCCTCCCACATGAAGTGTTTGGTATTAGTTGGACAATGTCAAGTTAGATTTCCATCAAGTCCTAACGAAATTATTTTTCATTTTAGTAAGCAATGTTGTGTGTAATACAATTACAAAATGTTGCCTAGTCAACAAACATCCTGCTACTGGTCTAAAAAACAAAAACAAAAAACAAAAAATCCTGCTAAAATATGTTAGTTTCACTTTGGGGGTGTTTGGGAAGCCAAAGATTGGCTTTTTTGGGCTAAAATTCACAAAAAAACAAAATAGTCTAAAATAGCCAATAAGATATCAAATCCATAATCATTTTACTTTTTCTCTCACAAACATTGCAATTTACATTCAACTACAAAAAAATCCACCCCTCTTCCCAAACACAAATATTTTAGCCTACTAAAATAGCCAACTTCCCAAATGAGGCCTTATGGTCTTGTGAAGGTTGTATTTATATTTTCCTTGTGCTTGATTGACCTTGCAAGCTGTTAAAATACGTGACTTTTCCTTCATCTTGAGTGTTCATCTAGCGAGGTTCTTGGTTTTCTCACGCCAGCTTTCTCTTTCAAGCAGTTTAGTTTCAAAATCATTGAAGTTAGGTCAAGTACCTGTATTTTTCCAAATAATGCAACATGTTCGACGTAGTTATACGTGATGTAGGATTGAAGCCATGATTGCATTGTCCTAACCTGACAAGCTATAAAACCAAGGCCACATTTTTTTTACAAAAATTGCCAACACAGTACTTCATTTAACATGCTAAACAAAAGAAAAGGACAGCTTAGGTCATTTTTCACATTATCGCCGTGAACTAGTTTCACCTTGCATTCTATTATCAATGAATTTATTTTACTGAAAAAAGAGTAGTAGTTTCTTTTTTCACATACTTCAGTGAACTAATTTAGCCTTGCAATCTATGCTTATAAACATGACGCTTTGGCTGTGATTGTGAGTGTAAGTGTGATTGTGAATGTGATTGTCAATTCTCCTGTTATTTGACTGACCTATGCAAAATCAGGTGTATCTTTAATGGGAATGGAAAGTTGTTAAAAGAACTGGTGCTAGCTGCTCAAGAAGGTGTTTTTGTCAATGTTGATAGTGAATTTGATTTGGACAATATTGTATCAGCGGCAAGAATTGCTGGGAAGAAGGTTAATTTACTGCTTAGGATTAATCCAGATGTGGACCCTCAGGTAATGTGGCTACAAAGATGTAATTTGTTAGTGCTGGATTTGGTAGTAGTGTATTCATTTGAGTAAGCAATCGGGAGAAACTCAATTGATACTTGACTAGTTAGTTCAAGACTTGGATGAATTTAAATACATAATCTAATCTTTTTGGAACAGAAGAAAATGTTGTTTGGTAAAAACACTATGACGTTCAATTATCAATCTTTCTAAAAAACTATGTGGTTAATGTTCCCTTAGGTCCATCCTTATGTTGCCACCGGTAATAAGAACTCCAAATTTGGTATTAGAAATGAGAAGCTGCAATGGTTTCTAGATGCTGTGAAGGCACATCCTAATGAATTGAAGCTTGTGGGGGCCCATTGCCATCTTGGTTCGACCATCACTAAGGTACCTTGCAAGCATAGTTTGTGTCCTAAAAGTTTAAACAACATTGTACATGTTATGTTCTTAATTGCATAAAAATGTGTTATGTGCTTTATTCTTGGGTTACTTTTATTAGTTATCCAACTATGCTGATGTTATATGAATGTTGATTTACTTTCCATTGGCAGTGGTAGAAAATAATCTTCCCATTTTACATTTGGTATGGCTGAAACAAAGGCACTGTATGGTTATGAAACAGACTCATATGTGAAGTAACAATGGAATAAGATGATTTTTAAGTAATATTTTGTTATGATGCAGAAGAATTTATAGTGCTTGTGGGTCTCTGTCATATTTATGCTTTTTTTTTTTATTTTTTTGATAACTCATTATCCTACCGAATGCATTTCTTGACAAGCCTTATAATACTGATTCTGGGTAATTTCTCATCTATATAATAATTTATCCAATGTTCAAAGTTCAATTTAACTACTAACTTGGTGTCCATTCATTGATTTCCTTCTACTACTTGATTCACCTTTCATTTTTGCTTCTACTAATTTCTTTTTTGTATTCAATTTTTTTCATCATTTTCCTTGATTTCATTCATCTTCATATCTCAGTGATCCTCTCTCTCTCTCTCTCTCATCCTTTCATTAACATTATTCTAATTTTGATCCCCATTGTACTCATGTTTATCTCCAACCTTATCATTGTCTAGTGATGCATAAAATTATTTTCTGTTTTCTATAAATCTAATCATCTCATTATTATTTTTAGGTTGACATTTTCTGGGATGCTGCAGTCCTTATGGTGAATTACATTGACCAAATTCGCGCCCAAGGCTTCAAAATTGACTATTTAAACATTGGAGGCGGGCTGGGGATTGATTATTATCACACTGGCGCTGTCCTTCCTTCTCCCAGAGATCTGATTGACACTGTAAGGACCATTTTCTGGTCTAGGCATATAGTACCTATGCATTTCATGTGAGCTTGGAGGATTTTATTATCCATATGGTAAAGCGTGTTAAGAAGATGTTTAACTGGAGCGAATAATCGGCAGTTCTCAGTGCACATCTATTTTCATTCTGTGCTCTTTTTGTTGTAGTCTTGTAGAGTTCTCCTTAACCTAACTAAATGCCAAGTGACTTCTATCCTCAAACCAATACTCTACTTAGAGGTTAGAGCCACATTCTAAACCTGGACATAGATTGAAGATCCCTTGATTGAGCAGGTTGATAAATTATTTGAATGGCCAAACACCTTTCTAAGAATCAAATGATCAATTGTTACCATCATCGTCACTATGCAAGCATTTTCTCATTACCTACCTTCATCTTTCTTTTTGACCTATAACATATCCTGACATCCAAAAAACAAATGGGTCTCATATATTCAGAAGGGGAGACCATTAATTTTGGTATGTTGGTGATCTTATTCAGGGATTAAGTATTTGTTCACTGATTCTCCACAAAAAATGAGAAAGAATATCTCTTGCCTTTCCTTCTCTTCTCTTCTTTGCAAATGCACAAGGATGGCAAAGAGGGTGCTATCTTAATTATTAACCTTATGTAGGCAGCTAAGAGCCTCCCAATTGGTGTGGATTGTGTTTTCCTAGAATTTATGGTATCTTCGGTTCACTTTCGTTATGTAGGGTTGGAGTGTATATACATGCATGAATACATGTCTCTGTTTTAAGTCTGGAATTTCTGTGTTTCTCATGGTTACATTCAGCATTGAAAAGATGCTTATACAAATGGCCTTACTGTCCATTATTAAAGAAACTCGGCAGAAATTTTGCTTCTGATTATATAAAGCTTCAATCAAATTTTCTTCCTGGGTGTTTGTTTTAGGTACGGGAGCTGGTCTTGTCACGAGATCTCAATCTCATCATTGAACCTGGGAGATCACTAATTGCAAATACTTGTTGCCTGGTTAATCATGTCACTGGGGTCAAAACTAATGGAACAAAAAAATTTATTGTGATTGATGGTAGCATGGCAGAGCTTATCCGCCCGAGTCTTTATGATGCGTATCAAGTAAGTCATAATCTGCTACTCTTTTTAAATATGCCAACTTCTATCTAGGATTGTGATTCTCCTGCATCCATCTCTCTTCTCAAGAAAAAAAATGTTGCCTGCATAGTGGTCATGAACCTTAAGGCCCACTAATCAAAAGATTTGTAGTCCTTTGACTCAAGCCAATGGCAAACAGCTAAACACTTGGGTAGCGTTTGGTGATGTTGTCAGTTTTTTGTTTTATATATATGGAAAAAAAAAGAAAAAGAAAAAAAACACAAATGTTTTGGTACACACATGTTTTCAAAATATATTAAAACAAAAACAAGAAAATATGTTTAGTGAGTTGCCGGAAAGGGTGTTTTTTTTTTTTTAATTCCTTAAATTTGGCAAACTGTTGCTGTTTCTTTGAAAATGAAAATAGTAAAAGCCCAATGTGTTTTTGTTTTCAGTTTTCAAAATTTGTGAAAACAAAAATATTGCCAAACAGGCCCTTAGTTTCCAAGTTTTCTATTTTGTCCATGATTGTTGATGTCTCCTTCCTTATTGAGTACCAATAACTGGAAGAATGTTCGCATATTTTGCTAATCTTGTACACTCTACAGTGTCTGAAGTTTTTCTATTTTTGTAAAGAACAGAAAAATAATGCAACTCGTTAATTTGTAACCCACTCTATTGCTAGGAGAATCTTCTTTTGTTGAGTTTTTTGTGATGTTGGTTTCATTGACACAAATGATGATGGTTTGCCAAATTGATGAACAACACATTTCCATGTTCATTTTGTTCTGAGACGGCTTTTATGGACATTGATAACTGGTAAGTCAATTAAGTGTTATTTTTTTTTAACTAAAAGTTGGGTTTTGTTGTCAATTAGGTTCAAGGAAATTGCTCTTACATTTTTGCAGGTCACTGATTGTTGCAATAGTAATAAACTATTGAATTTACCAGCTATATAAGCTCAGTGTTATCCTGTCAATTTTCAACCTTAATGTTTTCTTGTTGCCTTTTCTTAATGCCATGCTAGACTGCTATTACAATAACTTATCTTTAGTTGCTTCATCACTATTCACTTGTTTGCATCTGGGTGCAGCACATAGAGCTAGTTTCTCCGTCTTCACCTGGTGCTGGAATTTCTACTTTTGATGTGGTGGGCCCTGTCTGTGAATCAGCAGATTTCTTGGGAAAGGATAGGGAGCTTCCAACTCCAGCTTCGGTAATGTGTTACATCTCTCAATGGGGAATGGCCTGACCAATGAGTTTCTGTTTTTGACGCATTTGCTGATCAGGAGATTTACTTTTCAGGGAGCTGGCTTGGTAGTTCATGACGCAGGGGCTTATTGCATGAGCATGGCATCAACTTACAATCTCAAGATGCGCCCACCTGAGTACTGGGTGTGTAGTTTTAACTCTGTCTAGCCTTAACCTATTGTCATTTTGTTTCAAATCTGATCCAATAAGATTTTGCCCTTTTTCCATTAATAAATTGAGTATGGGATTACATCACAGCCTAAATGGCTTCTTCTAGTGCCCTCCCTTGTGCATGCTTGCCCCAGTTGGTTAACAATAACTTCAACTATCAGACCAGACTTTGCTATCAAACTTCTTTATGCATAAATAATTTGTGAACGTGTGCTGTCTCCATTTGACAGTGGTGCAAACATTGAAGTGGGACCGATCTAGGAAGTAGCGTTGATTTTGTGACAACTTTCGTCACCGTCTTTCTAAGTTGTATGGTATGGCTAGTTGACGGTCCTTTAACTGCAGTTGGTTTCAAAGACTGGACACCTAGATTGAAGGCATTTTAACGTTGCGATGATGATGAGTGTCTGCTTGCAGACTAACACTCTGGAGTAAGGTTTTAAAAAGCGACCGCAACCGTTACGTAACGGTTTTAATGGTTACCGCCACCCGTTACGGCTGCTTTTGCAGTGTGATTGAGATTCACAAGTGTGTCGGCCGTAGCGGTCGTAACGGTGCCGTAACAGTCGTAACGGTGCCGTAACAGTTGTAATGGCCTGTTACGCACTGTTACGTAACGGTTCCAAATTGTTTCTTTCGAAAAAACAGACAAAAAAAAAGCTAAAAATGGGAGAAGAGGGAAGATAAAGAGAGAAAATGAAGGAGCAAGAGATAGAGAGAGAGAAGAGGGAAGATGAACATGTTATTAATTTGTTGAAGCTGTAAGACCTATACTATTCTATTCAGCTGCTATCATTCAATTATTTTGTTTGTGTGTGTCTATCTATATATTATTTGAAAATAATAATAATAATAATAGGTGTGGTCATTATCTATTTGGCTTGGTTAAAATATGTATATATGTATATATATATATATATATATTTAGGCTCTTATTTATTCTCTTACTTTTGTCATTGTTTATCTTATATATAATAGTTAGTGATTGATTTTTTGTATAATATAAAGTCATTAATTATTAAAATAAAATGTAAAAAACTCAATGTATAGTGATTTAAAAATATGAAATATATTGGATCATACTTAAAAATTTACAAAAATTGATCAATATTTATTTTAAACCCAATAAATATGATTATGGAAAAAAAAAATATGCGTATCGGTAAGTTTTTTTCAAATTGTGCGACAAATAAAAAAATTTACGGTTCCGGTTATCGCAACCGTTACGCTACGGCCTTTACACCTCTCAACCGCAACCGCACTACGGCCACCGTTACGGCGACCGCAACCGCTTTTTAGAACCTTGCTTTGGAGACTACATGTCCCTACAGTGCAACCCTGCTTAGGCCTAAGGGACTACATCCAAAACCTAAATGGCTGCTTTCGGTGCTCTCCTTACATGGTTGCCCCACCTTGTGAGAGATGGTTGTGGATAAAACCAAAGGGGCTGAGGATATACACTTTCCTTAAATTGAATTTTAATGGTTCTTTTTAGGTTTTCCTGGTTATTAGCTAACATAGGGAGCCTAGCATAGAGTGTGATTATTCAACGAACTCACATGAAGCAAACAGTTATTTGCTTTAAGACTTTTTTAGGTTCCACATATCCTATCTAGTGGACGGCATTTCTATGAGTAATACAAACTGACTTGTGACCTTTTTTTAATATGAACAAAATGGAAAGGGTATTCATATTTGTATTCACACTACGAGAATATCCAATAGATGTTTCACAAGGGTGAAACCCACCACACACTCCAAAAGGATAGTAACTTTTTAGGAAGGTGGAGTACCTTGTCTGAAGGGTGGCTCATACCTGTCATGAATAGAAGGAAAATACAATTTTTGTTTCTTTGAATATGATATGTGACATTCTTTTTAGTGAACAGAAGAGTGTATAGTAATTGGTGATTTGCTGCTTTACCAATTACAACTGCAAAATTTTGCCTATGTTTTCCACATGCGGGTATTTCTCTTCCATCCTTGAGCATATAGTCTGTTTTTTCACCTGAATTTTATTGCATGGCATGGAAAGATAATGTAGTTTAATTCGACTTACCTTGTATGATGGTGATAAATTCGGGCCCACCAATCTTGGACTATTGGGCCTAATTAATTTAATGGGCTCAAATTAGCCCCTCTTACAGCTATTAAATTTATTGGTAGAAAATCAAGTGCTTAACAGTTGTGCTAATGTTTTTAGGTTGAAGAAGATGGATCCGTGGCCAAGATCCGTCATGCAGAGACATTTGAAGACCATATAAGATACTTCGAGGGTCTTTAGTACTTGTAGAAGAGAGAGGCTTGTTAACATTAGCTTGCTTAGTATATTTTATGCCTTATTTGATTAAGAGTAATGATTGATATTATGAACTAGTTATATAAATCAAACTGTTACTATTGCTCATGAGAGTAGTTGTGGAAGTTGTTGGTTTTGTATTTTGATGCCTTATTTGATTTAAAGTAATGATTGATATTATGAATTAGTTATACTGATCAGACTGGTACTATTGCTCATGAGAGTAGTTGTGGAAGTTGGCTTTTCTTATAGGTTTCTTCTTTCAGCACCTAAATTATTACTTAGAAATAAAAACAACCAAGGCCTCCTCTGGGACAGGCTGGAATACTTTAAAAGTCAAAATGCCACTATTAGAGCATCTCTATCCAATATGTTAAATTTAATGTTGCAGTTCAACGGCTCTATTTTAACATAAAGAATTAAGTACATCTGATATATCAAATGCTGAGTTGGTATTTGACATAAACTCAACAAGTCATATTTGACGTTTTTCATATTGATGTTAAATGTTAAATCTATTCAATAAAATAATTTTATTTTTAAAAATAATAAAATAATAGATTTGACATGTTAGGCGAGAGTTTCTATGTTAAATTGATAAATGTTATTATTTTATTATAACATGTCAAATCTATTATTTTTAAAAATAATAGAATAATAGATTTGACATGGCCTCCTTCCAATGACAAATGTTATTATAGCATTGTCATTGATATAATTTGACAATGAATAGTAATAAATTGTCAAATTATAGCAATGGTGTTCCAATAATTATTTGTCGTTTTGGTAAATTTCAACCAACTTTCCTTTGAATTTTGTAGGTGTTATTTGGATATAAGTTTATCTTCCCAGACCATTTTAGCAAATGCATAGAGGAAAAAACGCAAAAATTGGTTAAATACAGATAGCAGCAGCCAAAGTTTGTGTTAAATTTGATACAAACTTTGGCATTTTTCAAATATAGCACCTGCTATAAAATGCCATGGAGTATACAGTATTGGTGGAGCTGCCAAATTATGGCAATAGTAACTCCGATGGCAAGCCATTGAAGCTGCTCTGAGTCTTCAAAAATATTTGGTACAAAACTTTTGAAAGTTTGGATGGAGATGTATTTAATTGTCATATTATTCTTGCTATTTTTTTACATATCTTTTTGAAAAAAATTAAAAAGTCAACTAAAAATAATCAATTTTCAAATCATTTCTAAAAGTTCTAAATCATCACTTTCATGTCATTTAATTTTGCTTTAAATATTTTTTCAAAAATTTTAAAACTTACTTGAAATTGTTATATAAAATAATTGGTAGAATATTAGATAAATAAAAAGTAAAAAAATAATTACAAATGCATAGAGTGTAAGTGAGATATATGTTCGGAGTGAGCGTAAGTGAGATATATGTTTGGCGCAAATGAGAACGGTGTAAATTATATGCACCTATTTCTATGTTATTGATTTGTAATTATTTTATTATTTATTTAATATTTTCTCTTAAAATTTTGATCTTTGTAAAACACCAAATTGATAATAATTTATAAAATAATTTTTTAATATTGATTTTATATCCGATAGACAATTCTGATAAATTGTATTTAAAAAAATGACTTTTCTTAAGTATGCCTTGTATATGGTATGTAAGGCATTTACGCTCTTTCTACTTTGCATTTACACCTTCTAGGTATTGGGTTATACGACATTTTCTTGAAAGTTTACACATTGGTGACCTGCTGAATGGGTCCTTTGCAGGTAAATTAATTAAATAATGTGAAAATATTTTCAGAAATGGGTGTAAACTTGGGTGTAAACTTTTACAAAATGGTGTAAGGTATAGACTTTCAGTAAAAGGTGTAAGGTATAAACTTTCAGTAAAAGGTGTAAACCTTCAGAAAATGGTGTGAAAATATTTTCAGAAATGGGTGTAAACTTTTACAAAATGGTGTAAGGTATAAACTTTCAGTAAAAAGTGTAAACCTTCCGAAAACAATGCAAGGGTTTTGACGAGAGGGTATAAACTTTCAGAAATGGGTGTAAACTTTCACAAAATGGTGAAAGCATTTTGATGAAAAGGTATAAGTTTAGAAAATTTTTCAGAAAATGTATAATGTTTCAGAAAAAGTGTAACATTTAGTTTAGTGTAAATTTTATCGACAAATAAGAGTTTAGTCGCTAAAGGTTTGAAATTTTATTACCATCGGGGCTCTTCTCTGTTTCCCACCAAAACCTTCTCTGTTCTCTCTCACACGCACACAGAATAGTCACCACTAATCCTGACCCCCGCTGACCACCCAAGCGTCGGTGGCCTTCGGCGCTCACTGTCGTCTGACATCGCCACCTCCACGGCCACTGTTGCCGCAAATCAAAGGTTTTTTTCTCTCTCGCTATCGATCTTGGTCTCTCTCTGTCGATGTCGGCCTATTCTCCGTCGGTGTCGGTCTCTCTCTGTCGATCCCTGTCTATCTCGGTCTGTCTCTAATGATCTTGGTCTGTCTGTGTCCATGTGGGTCTCTTCTCTGTCGATCTCTGTCGATTTCGGTCTGGCTGTCTCTGTCGATCACTGTCCATCTAGGTCTCTGTGTCTGTCAATCTCAGTCCATCTCTCTCTCTCGTTCTGTCTTTCCCTTGCTCTATATTAAAAACGGTTCTCTTTTACATTGACATACTTGGTTGGATTTGGACTTGGAGTCACTATTCCAAGCCCTCCCAAACTCGTCTTCTCTGAAATGAACTTCTATTGAGAGAAAGACCAAGCCCTCCGAAACGCCGTTCTCTCTCACATTGCCATTATTTGAACAAGACAAATACAGTTTGATTGGATTTTAGAAACTTTCATGTTTTGTGAAAAAACGGAACTTACACGTTATGCGAAGTTACTTACATCTCTTGCGAAAACGCTTACGCTATTTGTGGAATGTTACACATTTGTGAAATAATTTATTTTGTAAAATTTACACATTTTCGTTGAAATACTTACACCTTGTTTGAGAAGTTACTACTTTTGTAAAGAATGTTATTAAAAGAATTTACACCTTTTATTGGAACTTACGCCTTTCTGAGAACCGAACTTACACTTTTTGTCAAATAATTTACATCTTGTGTGAAAAAATTTATACCTATGGAAAATATGTTTTCATAAAGTTTACACCTTTTATTAAAAACTTAAATGTTTTCTGAAAGTTTACACCTTTTGGTGGAAATAATTACATCTTTTATGAGAAGTTACTCTGTTTGTGAAACAATTTTTTCGAGAAAATATACACCTTTCATTAGAACTTACACCTTTTGTGACATAACTTACATCTTTTTTGAAAATGTTTACACCTTTTATGGAAATCTGAATTATATTTTTCATAAAATTTACACCTTTAATGGGAAGTTGCACCATTTGTGACATAACTTCGATCTTTTGTGAAAACTACATACAAGTTTTTGAAAATATACACATTTCATGGAAAGAATATTTGCATAAAATTTATACCTTTTGTTAAAAATATAAACATTTTCTAAATGGTTACACCTTTTTGTAGGAATACTTACACCTTTTCTGAATGGTTACTGCTTTTGTGAATAACTTTTTTCATAAAATTTACACTTTTTATGGGATATTACACCTTTTCTGCCAGCAAGACTTAAACCTTTTTAAAAAATTTACACCTTCTATGGAAAATATGTTTTCATTAAGTTCACACCTTATTTTAAAAACTTACACCTCTTTTGAAAAGGTACTCCTTTTGTGAAACAAAATTTTTAAAAAAATTTACACCTTTTAAATAGGAGTTACATCTTTGGTGAAGACAATTAGACCTTTTTTGAAAATTTACACGTTTTATGGAAAATATGCTTTGATAAAGTTTGTTAAAAGAAATTATTTGACAAAAGGTATAACCTTTTCAAATATGGTGTATGTTTTTCCGAAGAAGGTGTAAATGACCTTAGAAAAGATGTAAGGTTTGTTTTTCACTAAAGGTGTAACTTCAAATAATAAATATAAATTTTATGAAAAAGGTTTTGTCACAAAATGTGTAATTTTTCAAAAAAGTTGTAAATATTTTCACGAAAAGGTGTAAATTTTTAGAAAAGGTGTAAAATTTAGGAATATGTGTAAACTTTGTGATACAATCAAGATGAATATTTCGTTTTTACAAAAGATATAAGTTCTCAAGCTGAATATTTCGTTTTTACAAAAGATATAAGTTCCCAAAGAAGCTCTAAATTTTATCGACGACTTATAGGTTGAAAATTTTATCACCACCGACCAGCCAACCATCGCGGCCCACCGTTGCCCACCGCCGACCGCCACCACCGCCACCGCCACCGCCGCTGGTGCAAATCAAAGGATTTTTCTGTCTCTATCCATCTTGGTCTCTCTTTGTCCATCTCTGGCTCTTCTCTGTCGATGTCAGTCTCTCTCTTTGTCTGCCGATCTTTGTCTGTATCGATCTTGGTTTGTCTGTGTCGATCTGAGTCCGTCTGTCTTTGTCGAACCATGTCTATCTGGGCTCTCTATGTCTGCCGATCTCTATCTGTATCGATTTTGGTTTGTCTGTGTCGATCTGGGTTCGTCTCTCTGTGTCCAACCATGCCTATCTCGGTCTCTGTCTGTCGATATTCGTCCGTCTTTCTCCCTTCCTTCGTCTCTGTCTATCTATATCGATATCGAACCATGAACAACACAAATACAGTTTGATTGCATTGTAGCAACTTACTCGTTCTGCAAAAAAACGGAACTTACACCTTTTTTGAAGTTAATTTCATCTTTTGTGAAAACACTTACAGTAATTCTGGAAGGTTACAGTTTTTTGTGAAATAATTTATTTTGGAAATTTACACATTTTCGTTCAAATACTTACACCTTTTCGGAAAAGTTACCTCTTTTGTAAAATAATTTCAATAAAAAAATTTACACCTTTTATTTGAAGTTACACCATTCTGAAAACAGAACACACACCTTTTGTCAAATAACATACATCTTTTGTGAAAAAATTTACACCTTTTATGAAAAACTACATTTCATAAAATATACACATTTTGTTAAAAAAACTTACACCTTTTCTTAAAGTTTACACCTTTTGTTGGAAATACTTACACGTTATCTAAAAAGTTACTCCATTTGTGAAATAATTTTTTCAATAAAATTTACACCTCTTATTAGAACTTACACCTTTTTTAAAAACAAAAGTTACACTTTGTGTGACATAACTTACA